CTCTACCATTATCAGTACAATAATTTACATTAAAAATATGACGTTATAAGCTGAAGAACGTCGCGGGCCTATTTATGAGTACTATAAAACTTCTTGTAGTCTCTACTCAATTCAATTCAATTCAATTTTTATTTTACACACATATATACTTATTTTACAAGGAATATTATTAATCTATTATAGATAATTATGGGGAATTACATGTTTGTTATAGGGGAAAGTGTGCAGTGGCTAAGGAGCTTAGCTTTCGAGTTAGCCACTGCCTATTGAAAGCGAGCTTAGGGCTCTTTTTAAATGATTCTAGAACTCATTAATAATTCATGAGCTATTAGTCCAACCAGAATCCAACTATTGGGTCACATGATGGACCTTTATATACCGATAAAGCACTGATGTTTTATTAATCAGTTCTATATCAGAGATATAGAACTGATGTTTTATTAATCAGTTCTATATCAGATATAAAGAACTGATGTTGAAGGTCATCAGCGCTTTATCGCAACCCAACACTAGCAAAGGTCTCAGTTTTAATGTCGCATCATAGACCTTTGCTAGGTTTTAAATCACTTTGAATCAATGTGCAGATATGCAGTATAGCATAGACTAGCCGTTCTTACGTGTGGAATCAAAATTCTTTCATTCGTGACAAATGCACATGCTCAGTAGAAGTTTAACATGCATAATCTCTGTTTTCACATTTTTTAGCTTTTTTCTAAAATGATAACAATTTCTGGATGTTGGAGTTCTAGAAGTAGTATAAAAAACTCGCAGTCGTGCTTTATCGGGGATATAGACACTCGGCCTTTGGCCTCGTGTCTATATCTCCCGATAAAGCACTCCTGCTCGTTTATTAAACACTACATACAAACATTAGATTTAACAAGAATCTACAAGACAAGACTGTTTGGCATGGACGCGCAGCAGATAAGACGTCAGATGATGGACAGAGAGAACTTTAAGCGATTCATAATGAACGCACACCTAGGAGACAATTCTCTATAAAGGGGAATATGATGATGATGATGATGAAAAAATTATATTGTTTACACTAAGGATTATTGTCGCAAGAGGGATCAAAGTGTCTGTATAATGGCAAATGTAAATTGTTGAACGGAGATTGCATGACCGAAAGGAGCCA